CCGGTAAAGCCCTCTCTGGGGTTACTTCCCTTCTGTCTTTTAATGCCACTAGGACCAGCTTGAGAGTCACTGGACCCCTGTCTCACAAAATAACTGTCCACAGCCCTGTTTCTGGTGCCTCTTTAACATTTCCCTAAAGTGGGACATGGTTCTGTCACTAAACTTGTTGCAAAGATGGCTTGTTTCAGCTTGCTCAGGGTGGTACTTCTGCACAAACATTTGGACATCATTCCACTTGGCACAAATCTCCTTAATCTTTGAAGGCACCTCATCCACTCCCTATATTAACACCTTTCGCAACATCAGCTTCTTTGATTTGTTCTTTCTTTGACAGGATAGAACCGATGGTCGACTTTTTTTTTCCCATACATCCTGGCAAGCTCAACAAGTCTCACACCACTCTCGTAATTCTGTATTATTTCCTTCTTCACATCTATGGTGTTTCTCACTTTCTTTACCACAGGGGTACCACTAGCAAGTTTCTTTGGGCCCATGGCAGCTTATTTCAGTCCCACAAGCACTAGACGCAATGAAATAATCGTAAAATGCGTGAATGAGAGCAGAGGTTAGTGTTCACTCAAGCATAAATAAAGCTAGACTGCTCACGGCGCTTGCACGGGGACGCGGACAGAGCGGGCCGGCAGACAGGCCCCGTACCCGGCGATCTGAAAATAGGGGCGCGTTCGATAATAGGGACACAGTTTGTCTGAAAAAATGGTCCTATTTTCGAAACGTTCGATATGTGATACGTTCTATTTTTGAGGTTCCACTGTATATTGTAAATTGCTCCAAACTTCAGAACACCCGTGACTTAACCTGATTCCTCCTTTTTTCTGCTCCCTCTTCCCCTTTTTCTCCTCTGGATTGTCTTTCTTCTGTCTCGTGTTTCTGTTCCTTAATTATTTATTTCATCACTTCCCCTTCTTCCCCACCTCTGTGTACTTGCTCTCCCTCTGTGGGCACCTAGCTCCCTTGCAGTGCTCCCCTTTCTTTCCCCGCTACTACCACCACCACTACTACCACCACCCACTACTACCACCACCACCACACTACACCACCACCAACTACTACCACCACCACCACCTACACCTACACCACCACCCCACACCACCACCACCACTACTACCACCACCACCACCACTACTACCACCACCACCACCACACTACACCACCACCACCACCACTACTACACCACCCACACACCACCACTACTACCACCACCACCACCACTACTACCACCACCACCACCACTACTACCACCCACCACACCACCACTACTACCACCACCACCACCACTACTACCACCACCACCACCACTACTACCACCACCACCACCACTACTACCACCACCACCACTACTCACCACCACCACATACCACCACCACCACTACACCACCACCACTACACCACCACCACTACCACCACCACCCACTACTACCACCACCACTACTCACCACCACCACTACTACACCACCACACTACCACCACCACTACTACCACCACCACTACTACCACCACCACTACTACCACCACCACTACTACCACCACCACTACCACCACACCACTGCCACCACTACTACCACCACCACCACTACCACCACCACTACCACACACCACACTACACCACCACCACCACCACCACCACTACCACTACTACCACCTACTACTACCACCTACTACTACTACCACCTACTACTACTACCACTACTACTACCAACTCACTACCACCACATACTACTACTACCACCACCACTATTACTACCACCACCACCACTACCACTATTACTACCACCACCACCACTACCACCACTACTACTACTACTACTACCACCACCACTACTACCACCACTAGTACTATCACCACTACTACTATCACCATACTTACTACTATCACCACTACTACCACTACTACTACTACCACCACTACTACTACTACTACCACCACCACTACTACCACCACCACCACCACTACTACCACTACTACTACCACCACTACTACCACTACTACTACCACTACTACTACCACTACTACCACTACTACCACTACCACTACTACTACTACCACTACCACTACTATACTACTACTAGTGTGACTTTGTAAATGGTCCAAGTCGGACCGAAACGTCGTCTTAAGCTCCTCTTCTATATGCGGGTTATTTGTGAATGCCAGCTAGAGCAAACAGCGTGGCAAACACCAGGGATTCACTGATGTCATGTCGTATTAACACTCCCCTTTAAGAGGAAAGTGATGTTGACCCCGAGTTTAGTGGCCTGTCCTTGTCAACCTCATCAATTTCCCTGAGTATTTTGCATGTTATCATATTTTCCCTAGTTCTTCTATCCTCCAGTGTCATTAGATTCAATTCCATTAGCATCTCCCCCATAACTTGTGCCCTTTATTGTGTACTTCTGCATGTGTGATGTCCACATGATTGTTAAATGCAGTAGTGGAAAGACATGAAAGTGAGAATACTTATGTTGGTGAGAAGTGTGGCTTAAACATACTGAAAATGATAGTTCTTTTCCTTTTGGAAGATTTTGATAAGCTGCAGAGGTTAGGGGAGGAGTTTGAGAAAGTGTGCTAAAGAAGGGAGCCGAGTGGGAACATAGAGAAAGAACAAGAAAAGTCCATGCAGTGAAAGGTTGGATGTTATATTAGAGGGAAGGGCTACGGATGAAATGAATTTACATTGAGATTTGTCAATGAAAGACGAGGTTAATCATGGAATTGATGGGAGGAAAAAAGCGTGAGTGGAGCAGTGAGGAGTCTTTGGAGACAAAGAACGTTATCCATGGAAGCAAAGAGGGAAATGTTTGAGAGCATAATGGTACCAATGCTCTTACATGGATGTGAAGCATGGGTGGCAAAAGTTGCAACAAGGAGAAGGCTGGAGCCGGTGGAAATGTTGTGTCTGTGGGCTGTGTGTGGTGTGAATTATGCAGAGAATCTGCAGCTCGGAGATTAGGAGGAGGTGCAGGGTTACTAAAAGCATTATCCAGAGGGCTGAGGAGTTGAGGTGGTTTGGTCATTTTGAGAGGATGGAACAAAATAGAATGACTTGGAGGGCATATAAATATGTAGTGGAAGGTATTTAAAAGAAAGGTCAGCAGACATAATTATTCCCAGGTCTTTTACGTGTTCTTTACTTTCTGTTTGGTGACCCTCTTGACTATATACAAAACTCAAGAGGGTCACCAAATAGAACATAAGAAACATGTAAAAGACCTGGGAATAATTATGTTGGCTGACCTTTCCTTTAAAGACCATAACAAGACAAAGATAACGATAGCCAGGAAGATGACGGGGTGGGTATTGAGAACTTTCAAAACAAGGGAAATACAGTGGACCCCCGGTTTACGATATTATTTCATTCCAGAAGTATGTTCAGGTGCCAGTACTGAATGAATTTGTTCCCATAAGGAATATTGTGAATTAGATTAGTCCATTTCAGACCCCCAAACATACACGTACAAACGCACTTACATAATTGGTAGCATTGGGAGGTGATCGTAAAGCGGGGGGTCCACTGTATAATGCCGAGGGTGACACTCTTCAAATCACTAGTGCTCCCTCACTCGGAATATTGCTCAGTGCTGATGGCCCCGTTCAAAGTAGGAGAAATATCGGAGCTGGAACAAATACTACAAATATTATGCCAGTAATGCACCTAAACTACTGGAAACGCCTTCAAGTCTTGAATATGTACTGACTGGAGCGAAGGAGAGAGATGCATGATAACATATACCTGGAAAGTACTCGAGGGCCTGGTCCCAAATCTGTACACTGCCATAACAACATACTGGAGTGAGAGATGGTAGGAAGTGTAAAATAAACCCAGTGACGAGCAGGGGTGCAGTGGGGACAACAAGGGAACACTGTATCAACATCCGGGGTCCCAGACTATTCAACATGTTGCCAGAAGATATCAAACACGGCTGGAACAAGTGTAGAAGCCTTCAAGAGGAAACTGAACAAGAATCTTCACCAGGTGCCACCTCAACCAGGGTGTGATGGATATGTGGGGCAGTGGGCCTCCAGCAGCAACAGTCTGGTTGACCAGGAAAGCACCAGACTAGCCTGGCCCATGGCTGGGCTCAGAGAGTAGAGAAATTCTCGAAACTCTTCGAAGGTATATCAAAGGTAAAGGTAAGGCAGGGTACAGGTTGTCCTAGGAAAAGTTGGAAGGGGCGGGGGAGAGTAAAGGAGATTTTGTGCGCAAGGAGATTGGAGTGCATGAGTGTGTTAGATAGTGAGTGGAGACGTATGGTTTTTATGACTTGACGTGCTCTTGGAGTGTGAGCAAAGTAACATTTATGAAGGGATTTGGGAAAACCAGTTAGCCAGACTCGAGTCCTGGAAGTGGGAAGTACAGTGCCTGTGCTCCAAAGGAGGGGTGGAGATATGTTGTACTTTTTGAACTGTAGTGTAGGCACGCCTCTGGCAAGACAGTGATGGAGTGAGTGACGATGGAAGTTTCTTCTTTTTCACGTCACCCGGCCTCGGTGAGAAACGACCAATGTGTTAATAAAAAAAGTTAGGAGCGCTGAAAACAGCATTTAAACTTATGTAAGTTGAGTTCCCATCTTGTGTAAATGATGATAAGGTAGATTATGGAAATATATACATATTGTATTAAGTATATTTTGAAGGGATATTTTAAGTGTCTGGATCACATTGCATGGGCTATTACCTTAAAGCATCACATTTTAAAGTACAATTTATATATGGTTATCATGCAAGATAAAAAAAAAAGAGGGGTCTTAAGAGATAAAAGCATAATACTAAATTGTATGAGTGAGTCATGAACTCCTGGGATCAATGTACTTGATAAGTGAGTGAATGATAAGCTGACTGCAGGTGAGAAAGACACTCGCAGTGGAAACCTCTTATTATTTATAATGTTTCATTCAGGACTGGACTTTGAGTATGCTAAAACACATGCATACACCATATTCTGCAAGGATGTTTCTCTTTGTTCACATTTACTTTAATATTTTAGAATGAAGAATATGATGAAGTATTTGAGGCCAGCCTACATTGGGAGCGCACTGAGGATGTGAGCTGTGTTCCTGGGTTTATCAACAAGTTACTAGATTGCCCATCTCTCCATACACTGAATTCCTCCCTGAATTGTTCAATGAGTTCAACCTCATCATTCCTCTCTCGTTCAAACTCTACCAGGAAGAAGAGTAAGTTTTTTTTGATAAGTATTTTCAATATTTTTGTATTGTGTAGTCTTGTGGAAAACAACCAATCTTTTTCTTTTAAGGCACCATTTATAAAATTATATTCAATTAGTAATTTATGCTCTACCTACTACATTTACTGCTTAACCCTTTGGGGGTTTCGGACGTACTAGTACATCTTGCGACCCAGGGTTTTTGACATACTAGTACGCCTAAATTCTTGCGCCCTCAAATCTAGTGAGAGAAAGCTGGTAGGCCTACATATGAAAGAATGGGTCTGTGGTCAGTGTGCGCAGTATAAAAAAAAAAATCCTGCAGCACACAGTGCGTAATGAGGAAAAAAAAAACTTTGACCATGTTTTTGGAATAAAACAGCGACTTTGCACTGTATTTTCGTACGGTATTTATTGTTGTATTCTAGTTTTCTTGGTCTCATTTTATAGAATGGAAGACATATTACAGAAATTGAGATGATTTTGACTGGGTTTACAATGAAAAGTACCTTGAAATTGAGCTCAAAGTAGCAGAAATGTTTGATTTTTACCGAAGTTCAAAAGTAAACAAATCATGCCAAGCGTCCAATACACATCAACTGGCGAGTCTAATATTCTTTCACAAGTGCGCTGATATTATTTATACCATTTCTACACTAATGCAGTAGTCTGCATAACAGTAAATCTTATTTTTTTTTTTGTAAGAATAAAAATTCAAAGTGGAAAGCCAAAGAAATATAAGAGGGGCCTGGGGATGTGACTAACGAACAGAGAACTTATTTTAGTGCCAGGAATGTCTTTCTTGTTTATTCTGGACCCTATTCGGAAATTGGCATCTTTTGAAATTTGTGTGAAATTGGCAAAATTGCTAAATTCTGACCACCTTATTGGATAGTTGCAATTGGTAAATGGGTGGTTTCTTGTATTCATTCAATAGAAAAAATGGAGTTCTAGCGAAATAGTTATGATTTTTGTCGACTAGTGCACTGGAAGTGGCCGAAAATAGGGCTCAAAGTGGGCAAAATCGGCAATGCGTAAACATCATCGAGACTGCTAACTTCGCGAGAGCATAATTCCGTAAGTTTTCCATCAAATTTCATACTTTTGGTGTCATTATGATCGGGAAAAGATTCTCTATCTTTTCATAAGTTTCTTTTTTTTTTAAATTTGGCCAACCCTGAGAACAAGTCTGAGAGGGCCTGTCGACCCCCAAAGGGTTAATAGTACCTGTTTTGTTTAGGCACAGTACAACAATACCAACTAGCAACTAGCTTAAGAATTTCATTGAAAATATGCTCACCAGATTTACCAAATACAAATCTCTTTCTGGAGCCACTGTTCATAGACAGCAACATGTAAACATTTATGACACCTCATATAGTACCCTAACCATAAACCTAGGTGTTCCCCAAGGTAGCATTTGGGTGGCCTTCTTTTCTAACAGTGAAATTTTATAATAGGTAATAGGTTGGTAGACAGCAACCACCCAGGGGGGGTACTACCGTCCTGCCAAGTGAGTGTGAAACGAAAGCTTGTACAGTGGACCCTCAACCAGCGATATTAATCCGTTCCTGAGAGCTCATCGTTAATCGAAATAATCGTTAGTCAAGTTAATTTTCCCCATAAGAAATAATGGAAATCAAATTAATCCGTGCAAGATACCCCAAAGTATTGAAAAAAAAAAATTTTACCACATGAAATATTAATTTTAATACACACAAACTGAAGAAGACATGCACAGTTACATGACACTTAACTTTATTGAAGATCTGGTAATGATTGATGGGATGGGAGGAGGGGAGACTGTTGATCTTCTTAGTGTTTAGAAGGGGAATCCCCTTCCATTAGCACTTGAGGTAGCAAGTCTTTTTCTGGGGTTACTTCCCTTTTTCTTTTAATGCCACTAGGACCAGCTTCAGAGTCACTGGACTTCTGTCGCACAACATATCTGTCCATAGATACCTACATCTCTCGTTCCTTTATGACTTTCCTAAAGTGGTTCACAATATTGTCAGTGTACAGGTTGCCAACACGGCTTGCAGTAGCTGTGTCAGGGTGATTTTCATCAAAAAAGGTTTGCACTACAAGCCACTTTGCACACATTTCCTTAATCTTAGAAGTAGACAACTTCTTCAATTTCTCTCTCCCCTCCTCCAAAGCAGTTTCCTCAGGTCTGCCCTCTTGCTGTTCAAGATGATCTAGCAGCTCATCAGTGGTTAGTTCATCATTGTCCTCCTCCACCAGCTCTTCCACATCCTCCCCACTAACCTCCAACCCCAAGGACTTCCCCAATGCCACAATGGATTCCTCAACTGGCATAGGATTCTCAGGGTTAGCCTCAAACCCTTCAAAATCCCTTTTGTCTACACATTCTGGCCAGTTTTTTCCAAGCAGAGTTCAAGGTCCTTTTAGTCCCTCCCAAGCCTTACCTATAATGTTTACACAATTGAGGATGGTAAAATGATCTTTCCAAAATTCTCTTAGTCAGTTGAGTTTCTGAGGTCACTACAAAGCACCTTTCAAACATAGCTTTTGTGTACAGTTTCTTGAAGTTGGAAATGACCTGCTGGTCCATGGGCTGCAGGAGAGGAGTGGTATTAGGAGGCAAAAACTTGACCTTAGCACTGGCACACAACAGAATAAGCCTGTCTTTCATAGGCTTATGTCCTGGGAGTGCCTTTTCCTCCTGAGTAATGTAGGTCCTTCTTGGCATTTTCTTCCAAAACAGGCCTGTTTCGTCACAATTAAACACTTGTTCAGGTTTCAGTCCTTCACTGTCTATGTACTCCTTGAATTCCTGCACATATTTTTCAGCCGCTTTGTGGTTCGAACCGGCAGCCTCACCATGCCTTATCACACTATGTATGCTACTATGATTCTTAAATCTCTCAAACTAACCTTTGCTGGCCTTTAAATTCACTCGCATCACTAGTTGCTGGCATTTTTTTTAATTAAATCGTCATGCAACTTCCTAGCCTTTTCACATATGATCGCATTAGAGATGCTATCTCCTGCTATCTGTTTCTCGTTTATCCACACCAATAAGAGTCTCTCAACATCTTCTACTGCTTGCGATCTCACTTTCGAAAACATAGTTGCACCTTTGGCAAGAACAGCTTCCTTGATTGCCGTTTTCTTGCCCACAATAGTAGCGATGGTTGATTGGGGTTTATTATACAACCTGACCAGCTCAGAGACACGCACTCCACTTTCATACTTAGCAATGATCTCTTTCTTTATCTCCATAGTAATTATCACCCTTTTTGCTGTAGGGTTGGCACTAGAAGCTTTCTTGGGGCCCATGGTGACTTATTTTGCAAGTGCAATCACTACAAAGGCTGTGATAATATGAAATGTTCCAGTTGTATGTTTGGAAGCGACCGCGGTGGCTGGCTTGTAAACAATGGCACCCACGGGACAAGTGAGGCACGCTCAGGCCAAAGTGGACACGTCTCGTAAGGAACGAATAGCGCTGGTCGGGTTTTTAAATGCTAGTCGAGGCAAAAATTTTGCGTTAAAATGTATCACTAGTCAGATTTATTGTTAATCGATGCCATCACTGGTTGAGGGTCCACTGTAATTGTTTTACGTGATGGTAGATTGCTGCTGTCTTTTATCTGTCTCATAAATCTGCAAGAATACAGGTACATCTAGCTACTTCTACTTACACTTAGGTCACACTACACATACATGTACATGTTTATTTATACACACTCATCTGAGTTTTCTTTGATTTTATCTTAATAGTTCTTGGTCTTGTTACTTTTCCTTTTATATCCATGGGGAAGTGGAATAAGAATCTTTCCTCTGTAAGCCATGCGTGTTGTAAAAGTCAACTAAAATGCCGGGAACAATGGGCTGGTAACCCCTTTTCTTGTAATTACTAAAAAGAATAAGAAGAAAATTTTCAAAGTGGGAAATCTGAATATGCGTGGATGTTGTGCAAATGATAACAAAAAGATGATTGTGGATGTTATGAATGAGAAGAAGCTGGATGTCCTGGCTTTAAGGAAACCACAGTTGCAGGGATAAGAGAGTTCTCAGTGGAGAGATATAAATGGGATTTCGCATCAGGAGTTTCACAACCTCCCACGCTAGTTCAGAGACGTTGTCTAGACAGGCCCCAGCTGTAGCAACTCTCAGAATGTTCGACAGCGTTCTCATAGTTATGCCACTGGCAGACGAAATAGACCGCGACCGACTATAAACTCGAGCATCTTATTCATCTCGGTCCCTCATGCTGCCGCGAGTGTAACCCAATCAACTGGTCAGACTGATCTTTCAGCCTGTACCACAGTGGAGATCCGCTAGACTGTAACAGTGGCTGCACCGGTAGAGCTAGACGCGTGATTGTCGCGGGAAATGCGTGATCCCTCGCGTATCTCCCACTCTCGAACTGGCTGCCCAGTCTTTGAACCACACGTGTGCGCAGTAAGGGTGGTCCGCCGTGGGATTTCAATGCTAACGGCGGCAAAATTGTGTGGAGGAGGGAGTAGTAGTTAGGTAATTTGGGGTGCTAGGGGTAAATAAATGGGGGATAGCCTTTAATTGAGCTATGTGTAGAAAGAGGTTTGGTCATTAAGTTATACATATTTTCTGAAGAGGATAAATTAAATATACAAGGTATGTTATAGCCACATATGAGGTAGTTTGTTAGATTATGTGATTGGTGGATTACAGGTTGATGTGTAGGCTCCAGGGGATGTGACACGTTTATAGAGGGGCAACTGATATATCGGATCATTATTTCGTTTTAGTTGTGCTACAGTAGAGTAAGAGGGTAGATGGAAAAAGAGGAAAATGGGCAACAAAACAAGTAAGAGGGAGGTTGAGAGTGTATAAATAAGGGGGAGGGAATTTCATGGTGAGATATAAAAAAAACTATTGGCAGGTAAAGGTGGACTGGTGCAAGTATGAGCAGTGGGGGGGGGGGGGGGTTGAAAGAGGGTTGGAATAGTTTTACCAATGCAGTATTAGAATGTGGGGCCGGGTAGGGTGCAGGAGGAAAGA